CACTGGTCGCAGAGAGGAAAAGAAATTTCTCATCTTTTAAAGATAGGACGGGATGTCAGGATCTTCCAATGTTACACGTGTGAGAAATTCTCCGGGTAACCTAAGAGTAGCGCCATAGACCAGCTCGGCTGAGGTGCAAGCGATGTCTGTTTTGAAGGTAGGACGGATTCCAAGGAGGACGTGAGGAAGGTGGCTAACCCAATAAGCACGACATTCTTTCGTCATCAGTGCTGCCTTGAGTTCGCGATGCAGCCGTTAAACCATACCATTTGATGAAGGGTGGTATGCAGTGGTGTGTACGTGGCGTACACCCAAGATCTTGGTGAGGACCGTGAAAAATTTACAATGAAACTGTCGGCCACGGTCGTCGTGATGGTGGACGGACAGCCAAACCGCGCGATCCACGTTGATAGCAAGGTGTGGGCGACTGTCTCCGCTGTTATGTCGGTGAGTGGAACAGCTTCCGGCCATCGCGTGAACCTGTCCACATATGTCAAAACGTATCGGAAACCGCTTGACGATGGTAGAGGTCCTACAGTATCAATGTGGACGTGATCAAATCTGGGATCCGGAGGTCGAAATGCATGCAGCGGTGTCTTCGTGTGTCGAGTTACTTTGGAACGTTGACATTTGCTGCATGTTTTGGTCCATTGACGCATCTCAGCGTTAATCCGGGGAGAGATGTATCGTGCCGTTACGAGGCGTTGCGTTGTACGAGTGCCCGGATGACTAAGATCATGAATGGAATGGAAGATAGCTTGTCGATATTGTTGGGGTATATATGGCCTAGGTGCACTGGTTGACGCGTCGCAGACAAGCTCGCAGTTGGCGAGTGGCAGTGTGACGGGTTGGAGTTGCAGAGATGTAGAGCACGCTCGCAGCTTTTGTAGCTCGGAGTCTTCCTGTTGTGCGGAGGCCAGTTCCGAAAAACTGACAACAGGAGGTGATGAAACACCGTCAATGCGTGAGAGTGCGTCTGCTGGCGTGTTATCCGTTCTGGCGACATGGCGTAGACCAGTGGTATACTCGGAGATGTACGAGAGGTGTCGAATTTCTCTGGCGGATTAGGAATTGTGATTTACCGCGAATGCGTAAATCAGAGGCTTGTGGTCAGTTAGCACGTGAAAAACTCGGCCTTCCAAGGAGTACCGGAAGTGCCGAACAGTCGCATAAATTGGGAAGAGCTCGCGTCCAAACGTGCTGTAGCGCGTCTCCGCAGGTTTGAGCTTCTGTAAGAAAAATCCAAGCGGATTCCACCCATTTTCGCCGTACTCCTGTAAGACAGCGCCGACAGCAACATCGGACGCGTCTACCATGACACGCGTCGGGGCGTTTGACATAGGATGCACGAGTAGTGTGGCATCGGCAAGGGCTTGCTTGGCCGCGGTGAAAGCCGCCACTGCGCTGGTGGTCCATGATAGTTGTGCCGAGGACTTGCTCGGAGCTCGGAGCAAGTCTGTGAGAGGCTGAATGATTTGTGCTCAATGTGGGATGAAACGTGGATGAAAATTAATGAGGCCCAGAAATTCCCGCTGCTTACGTAAAGATTTGGGTTGTGTGAAGCCTCGTATGGCTTCTACCTTAGATTGAAGAGGTTCAATGCCATCGGGAGTGATGCGGTGCCCTAAAAATTCCAGTGCCGTAGTACCAAAGGTACACTTCGCCACATTAATTGTAAGCCCGTAATCGCGGAGGCGTTTGAGGAGCAGGCGCAGATGTGTTGTGCGCTCCTCGTGGGATTTGCTCGCGATCAGCAAGTGATCTACGTAGGCAAATACAAAAGGCACTTCATGAAGAACTTCGTGGGCGAATCTCTGAAAAGTTTGCGCGGCGTTTCTCAATCCGAAAGGCATGCGAACGAACTCGAAGAGGCCAAATGGTGTTGTGGTGGCTGTCTTCGGAATATCTGCAGGCTTGATCGGCATGTGGTGAAACGCCCTCACCATGTCGATTTTGCTAAATATAGAGGTTCCTGCCAGGTGTTCAGCGAAGTCGTGTATATGAGGTAGTGGGTAGCGATCGGGTTGTGTATGGGTGTTTAGCGCCCTGTAATCACCGCGCGGCCTCCAGTCCCCTGGGTCTTTTTTAGGAACCATGTGGAGTGGTGATGCCCAAGAGCTGTTGGATGGTCGAATTTTGCATAGTTCTAGCATATGCTCGAACTCTCGTCGTGCTACTTTCTGGCGTTCACCAGACAGGCGACGAGGGCGAGCAAAAACGGTGGGGCCGGAGGTGACAATGTGGTGTGTCACAGCATGCGGTGGCGGCTCTGCCGTGTTGGACGACTTCCTGATTTCAGGGAATTATTTAAGAATGTCTGAGAATCTCGAAGGAGGCAGGATGTTCCGGATGCAAAGGGAGGGTAGAGTTGTGGACACGCCGTTGACAGCGAGATGAGTCTTCCTGTCAATAAGGCGTCGATGGTGCATGCTGACGTCCAGATCGAAGTGTGAAAAAACATCTGAGCCTAAGATGGGGTAGGTCACGTCAGCAATGATGAAAATCCATCGAAAGGTCTTACGAAGCCCTAAGTCCAGGGTCAGAGATTATCTGCCATATGTTGGAATGTTCGAGCCGTTTGCCGCGACGAGATGCGAACCGGTCAATGGACGTCACCTCTCTGCATGTGTAGGTGGAATTACGCACATTTCAGCGCCTGTGTCGACGAGAAAACGGTGGCCCGTTATTCGGTCTGTGACAAAAAACAGACGGCTTGTGGTTGGGCCGACGTCACTTGCCGCCTCTAGTGACCGGCCGGAGCGTTTTCCTGCCATTCGCATGGCTGATGGTACTTACATGCGTCGCTACCGAATTTCTGGTGCTGCCAGCAGAGTACGTCTGTCCGTCGTTGTGAAGGACTGCGCTGTCGAGAGGATACCTCTCCGACGACATCGCAAGTCGTTTCTCTTTGTGCTGAGTGCTGCGACGGCTGTTGTGAGGGCGTCGGTGCGGGCTTCAAGGGCTCGCATGGCGGAACACTGATGAGCGTTATCCGTGACACTTGACAGGGCAGGCGGAGCATACTCCGCGACGCCGTCAGCCATCTCGGCAAGGCGATCGAGTGGAAGATCGGTGACTGGTGCAAGCGTCATGCGAATGCCTTGTGGCCAACGCTGGAGAAACAATTCGCGTAGAATCGGATTGTTCGCGTCCGAAGCTTGCTCACCTAACAGCTGGCGCATGCGATGAAGTAGCTGAGAGGGTCGACGGTCGCTCAGCTCCTCTGTGTTCAGGAGCTGCTGTAGCCCTGAAGCCTCTGACTGCGTCTTCCTAGCGAGGATCGTCCGCTTGATGTAGTCGTAGGCATCGTCAGGACAGGGAGACGCCAGTACGTCGTCCAGCTCATCAGCGACCTCTGGGGGAAGAGCGGAAACCACATGGTAGTAGCTGGCGGTCTGGCTTGGTGATGCGCCGCGGGTGTAATTGTGCTTTCCCTTGGGAAAAGCAGGCCCGAGGGTTTTTCGCCCAGAAGGCTGGAAGGCGGAGATGGACGGTTGAGAAAACTCCGTTGCCGTTGGAAAAGATGCCAGGAACACTATGGTTCATGTTGGTTGGATGTCCGGAGTCACCAGTTTGTCGGCGGTGTTCTATAAATGCCGGAGGAAAAATGCAGGCGTCCGAACCAGAGCTAGAGCGTACTAGAAAGAACGAGTGGGGCCACCGGAGTACTTGTTTGGTACCTCCGCATGTGACAAAAAAAAAAAAAACGGCTGATTCAAGCCATTTCGCTCGTAGCGCCCTCTGGGCACTACGAGTGAAGTGGTTCGGATGAGCCGCTTTTTATGAAAAACCTGTTTCATTCCAATGCCAAGCTCGACCGGCAGACTGGTCAAGGTCATAGAAACGATAGAACGCCGGACTATATTTTTTATACAACCTAGATGTCAGGCGTCACGTGCATAAAGTCACCGGGACCTGACTTGTCGTCACAACGCCATGCGACATCAGGACGACGCCTTGACGTCAACGTCGTCATCAACGTTGACAACGTGCGTTACCCGACATCAAGACTGCGTTCTGACGGCATATTCCGTTGACAACGACGACGATGTCAACGTTGACGTTGATGACGACGACGACAACATCACGGGACGTCAAGATGACGGCGTCCTTGTTAATCCAACGTCATAAGTTAATCCAACGTCGTTTAACGTCAACGACGTTAAACGACATCAAGACATCGTCGTGACTGCGCGTTGACGTTCATGCTGGCGAAGGCGACGACGTTACACGCCGTCAAGGCTTCGTCGTGACGTTGACGCTTACAGTGACGTCATAGTGATGTTTGACGTTGCGTGCGGCGTCGACGTCAATGTCGGCATTGACGACCACGTCCACATCGTCCTCGACGTGACGCGCGACGTCATGACCGTGTTACAACGGCGACTTAATGTCGCCAAATGGCGTCGTCCTCGACGCGACGCGATGTAACGACGGCCTTATGACACCATCTTGGAGTCGCGTAACGTCGTCGGCGATGACGTCGTTAGTCGTCGTGTCGTGGCTTTGACGTTACCTCTGACGTCAAAATCATCCCCTAAGGGGCTATATTGCCCTTATGACCTTGACCTGTGTCGTTGCTCGATCGCAGCGAAGGTTGCGCTGCGATCAGAGAGGCTTGGTTCCACCTGATCGCTTTCCACATTTTGAGGTACAACTGAAAGCATGAGCGGAGCCTGTATGCCGTCAAATATTAATTATCTGCGGCATTTAGTGAAGGCATGCAACTGTGGCACCACCCTTTTAATATAATAGTCAAGAAGGAAACAAGTTTTTGGCGCAAGTACTGCAACAAAACCTCCTCGTGTGTATCCAGTCTCCTACGTGGAAAACATATCTTAACGCGTGTTTTGGGTTGGAGCTTTCATTGCATATTTTAATATAACTGCAGCGCAATTAAAACAAAAAGTGTATCACCAAAAAGGAAGATGCATTCTAACATTTATATTTGTATTTTAACTGCTATACAACAAGTGTTGCATTTTATTTTTTCTACACAGAACTGCACTTCAAGCACAAGAGAACACCTGCGTAATTGGCACCAAGACTTGGAGGGTGCACTGTCCGGAGTTTTGTTGGCAAAGTGCCCATCGTATTCAAATATGTAACTTTCGTTGGTGGCTGCGATAAATAAAAAAAACAAAAAAACATCGCGTGCCATTCATTTGAATAAATTTTTTATATAAAAAAGTATAATTCTTCAGTACAATTTATGTTGTTAAGTTCAGTAACATACCGAGCTTTATTTGAAGACTGAACTAAGACCGTTCACTCCAGGGGACTTTCGAGGCGCTAACGCCTTGATAGCCTTTATTATTTCATCCACAGTTATCTCTCCATTTAATTTTTTGCCACCGTTTTATCTTCTTTCGGAATTAGTCTAATGCCCCTGCCACACGGCAAAAGTTAATGTCATTTCAATCAAATGACATTATGTGATCGGCGAATCAGCTCACTATTCTAACTACGAGCGTGCCGCGTGCACCGCGTGGCGGCAGGTGTGGCGCGCGCTAATTGGGCGATCCCATAATCCACCAGCTCGCCTGCACCCTTCCACCAGCTCGCCTGCACCCTTACAATTTTTTCACCATAATCTCATTCGATGGAAATGACATTAACGTTGCTGTTTGGCAGCAATATAAGAAACTGTTGTGATACATGCTTATTAGAAAATGTATTTTCTTGAAAGAGTCTGTCCTAACTTGAAGGTGACAATCTCCCGCTGGATATCTGTTTGCTCACTTACGAGCGCTTCTCATAACCCGAGCGCCATGATATTATTATTTTTCGCTGGCTCCCAGCTTTTTATTTTAAACATTTTCGTTGGCTCTTCGTCTTGTAAATTTATTAAACTTTGAAAACTAAAGCAAACTAAACGATTTATTGGGCAAACTTGTGCCCAAAACACGATAAAAAAAGGCTAGCGTCGCAGGTGTCCATGGCGGCGTAACAGCAGGATCGAACGTTGGTGTGACACTGACTCCGGCTCGCCACGCGGAGCCCCTTTTGTAGACGGGAGTGCTTCTGCAACATTTTCCCTGCTGTCGCACAAAAAGACCTTAAGTAAGTTCCTAGGCCCACGTGCCCACACACTAAAAAAAAAGAAGGTATCACCTTAACCCTTTGTCCCATATAATACACCCCATATAATACACCCCAAAATTTCATTTCGACGTACAAAGCCCTATATTCGATCAAACGGCCCTAAATATTACGAGGGGCTTGATAGCCGTGTGGTACAACTTATTAAAATAGCTAAAGTACGTATCAAAGACCGCATTAAGAAAACACTGAGCTTTTACAGTAGGGCAAAGAAAACCCCGATTATTTTTTTGTGCTCAGTAAAACTCGTTAGTTCAAACAAAAAAAGGTGTTGTTTCATTCGTTTTACCAGTAAGCGTAAACTTCTCCTATCAAACTATCATCTGGGCAGCCACTTGCTTAATCACGTTGACAATTTCAAGTATTTAGGTTTAAACTTCTCATCTGATTTGACGTGAAACAGGCTCCCAGATTACGTGACTAATAAAGCAAACGGGTTACTAAACTTTATTAAACGCAACTTCAAAACTGCGCCAGTGTTCCTGAAGAACGTGTTCTATAGAGCAAATGTGCAACCAATTCTGGAATATGCATGTACAATATAAGATCCTCCTTCTCAATATCTTATTTATAAAGTGGAACGAATTCAAGAATGTGCAGCTTGTTTTGTAACAAGTAGCTATGATTTTCGTTCGAGCATCTCAAACATAAATATATCACTTGGTTGGAGTCTTCTTCGCCAACGTACAAAACGCTTACGGTTAAGCGCTTTCACGCTTTTATAATTATCAAACAGGAATCGATAAAAACATGTATAGGTAGGCCTCACATTAAGTATCAAGAAAAACGGATCTCCAGATGAAAGTTCGAGGAATTAACTGCCGAACGGAAGTTTTCGCCCACTCTTTTTCCCCCTCACTATCAATGTTGAAAGTATAGAAGGCGCACAATAAAGATGAATACGAAAACGGAGAGGCAAACAATACGAGCGCAAATAAGACAGCGCTTGTCTTGTTGGCCTTTCCGTCTTCGTTCTCGTCTTTATTGTGCGCTTTCTATACTTTCCAACATGCATAACCAACTCGCCTGCATCGCTACGATAGTTACTATCAATGAGCGGAACAGTCTAGACAGCGCTATTGTCACTTCTCCACAAAACATATTTTTCTTAATTTTACAAGACTTTTGTTGTCAATAGGTGTCTGTTATTTCACGTCCGTTTTGTATTGTATTTTTTTGTTCATGTAACCCCTCTACAATAATGCCCCCCGGGCGATGTAGGTACCTGCCTAAATAAATAAATAAATATAGACGATAACAACCAGGAAGTTACGTGTATGTGTCTTTATTCAGTCAATATGGCAATAACCATAAAAATCATTATAGTTGTCCAATAATCATCCCGATACAGCTTGGCTGGTTATCCTTCTTCAGAGAGTGGAAGGGCGCAAAGCGTCTCACTTTAACTAAGGATGTACATTCCACTCTTGATCGGTGGTCCCAGATTGACTGTGACTTTCTTGATTTTCGCAAAGTCTTCGATAAAGTTTTTCATAACCCCTTAATTTTTAAACAGCAAATATTACAGAAACACTAATGGTCTGTACTGGATTAAACGTTTTTTGAGTAATCGATGACAGTTTTTTCTAGTAATGACACTAGTTATTCCTTCTGTACTAGTACGTCTGGTGTCCCACGGGGGCCTGTAAGGACCCGTTTTGTTTCTCATATATATAAACTACTTACCAATATGTGCATCCTCATCAATTAGATAATATGCTGATGATTGGATAATTTAGCGTGAAATAACTAACAAATTTGATGCTGCACTGCTTGAAGGTGAGCTATGTGCAATATCCGAATGGTGTAACCTGTAGAAAATGACCCTTAAGGGGGCACTGACACCCCAAGGGTCGTATTTTTTTATTGTCTAAAACGATGCACGTTGTAGTCATAAACACGCAAAAAAAAAAACCACATCGCGAACAAAAAGTTTTTTTACGCGCGCGCGCCCTTTTATTTTTGGCACCCTCCTCTCTCGTTTTTCGCCTCCTCGCTTTTTTTGATTCATGACGTCAAGAATCATGAAATTTAGAAGCTTTGTAGGCGACATTTCTATAACATTCACTAACGGCAATCGTAAAACATGTCTTTTAACGCAATTGCGAATGCACTACGGCTTTTCTTTCTGAAATACCAAAAATCGGAGTCCGTTATGGTGCCGCCTCCTGGATTTGTATCCTCCTACGGAAAACAGGCGACACCGCTCAAAACCGGTCCGCCGGTGCTCGCTCCATTCCTCCTCGCTTTGGTTTGCGATGGCAACAGCAGGGAGTCGTGAAAGAAAGTGGACTCTCAGGACTCCGCAATATTTGACGTCAACGCACCGGCGCGGATCGCGCGGGAACTTCAAATTCGGCATTTGGAAATTGTTTTTTTTCTTCACAAATACTGAATTCCCAAGTTGTTTCGAATTTTGAGGGTAATATCCCGGCATCGTTTTCAATCGTTTCGGATAATAAAATATATGATTTTGATGTGTCAGTGCCCCTTTAACACTACCAAATGCAATACTATAAGGATTACTGGTCGGAACACGTGCCAATCGTCGTTCTCAGTTTGTAACACTCTACTGCAATTTGAGACGTCTTACGAATATCTCTGTGTTCACATTACTTCTAACATGTCATGAAAAACTCATACCGACGAGATTATCGCTAACGTGCTAACTCCATGGACTTGGATATATTTAAAACGAAAATTTACTTCTGCCCCAGTATCACTAGAGTTACTTTTGTACAAATCACTAGTTCGATCAAGACTAGAGTACGCCGTATCAATCTGGGACCTTGGACCTTCAACGCTTGTGACTAACCTCGAATCTCTACAAGATCGCCGAGTACGTTTCATTTTCTGCAACTTTCATCTCACAGCCAGTGTGTCATCTATGAAAGCAATGCATCACTACCTATTATTTTCTTACGTCGAAAAAATATATCGTTTATGCCTTTTCTATAAAATATATCACACTAACACTTTACTAAAAACAAATTATTCCTTAGCCCTTTACACCTATATCTCTTGATCGTGGATTCAAAGTTGGCATACCTCACTGTCAAACATCAGCATACCTTGACTCTTTATACAGGAAGCGTCTTCAGAGTGGAACCATTTTTCACCATCTTGAGTAACTATGCCATCAATTGATTTGTTGCAATCTACGTTAACAAATTACCTTTGTTAATTTTGCCTTGGATTAGTATTTTTTTAAATGCATTCTTCCTGTGTATTTTCCGTTCTGTAATTGCCTTTTGTTTTAGTCCCACCCTTTCGTGTAATGTTGTACGGGCCCTAAGGACATTCTCATAAATACGTAAATAAATAAATATTCATCAAACCAAGATATGACATTCTGAGCACCTGTAGCATTGATTTTCGCGAAAAATAAGGTGTCAGAAGCAAATAAAATATCGACTTTACCTCTGCCAAGTTTTTTCACTGCAATTAATACATCAGGCGCCCACAGTCTAATTTTTTGTTTGTCCAAGGGTTCCGAAATCGTGAGTGGGATACCAACGCGCTCATTACCGTCGACGTCTTCAAGAGCACGGTACACGACGCAGTGATGTCAGCAAACCGTTAGGGGATGAATGGACGTGTCGAAAGATGAAAGATGGATACCTTTGCGTAGCTGAGCAACATTGATCGAGGGGACCGGTATCCATCTTTCTTCCTGAACGCACTAAGACGAATTTCGATTCGCGGGGATAACATGCGACGCGAACAAAGAATAACGTTACCTGAAAGCGAAAACTACTGACCTTATGGTCGCTCGCCTAGATCAGACCTGGGGAGTAATCCATTACAAGTAACAGTAGTAACTTGTAATCCGTTACTCTTTTTAAAGTAATTTTGTAATTGCCGCGTTATTTGTGCGGTAGTAATTTGTAATTTCATTTCGTTACAAACATTGGTAAGAAATAAGTTTAATCAGTCGTTAATTTTTAAAAATATAAACAAAATACAGAAACTGGAGAAATATGAGTGTGCGACCACCCGCTCGACCAAGCCTCAAAAACGAGCGCTCGCGCCCATGAATTTTCAGTACTGCATGCAACTATACTCTGTTCATGCAAAAGCTGACAGTGCGTCAAAGCTACAGGCACGAGACCGCAGCTTTGAGACGTTGCGCTCACGCCTGAGAAGGCACGTTTCAAACGAAAGATTTCGTAGATCGGTTCCTTCCTTCCGAATCTTCTAGCGCAGGTGGACTCTGCTACAGTGCACGCGCAAGGCTAGATTTGTCTGCAGAATTCCAGGGATCATTTTCGGTCGCCGTAAGCTAGCGGGATGGTGGGCGTGGTTTCAGCTTTCGCTGCCTTGTCAGCTTACATGTGAACGAAGTGCACCTACATTCTTTCTCCGACATAAAAATATTTTATTTTTACGAGGACTACCCTAATGCGGGCGTGTGAGGAATGCAAAGAAGTGTTGCAGAACATTTTTGAAAACATCAATATTGTTTCTAAAGTTTTCTTGATCAGCGTACGGGAAAAGGAACTTGAAAGTAATTTGTAACGCAACGAGTAAAGTAATCCGTTACTTTTCAGAAGCAGTGAGTGATTTGTAACGGTGACTCATTATATTTGAGAATCGGTAAATTGTAATTTTAATCTATTACATTTTTTGAGTGACGGGCACAGGTCTGGTCGAGACATCTAGACAACTTCGGCTCGAAAACGAGGCATCTCTCGTCCAATTTCTCGTCAGGTCGGGACCCGCCGGCCTGCCTGACTTGAACTGGCTCACCCCGAACCAACAGACAGCAGCACGGCAGCACGCAACCAACCCAACCAAAGTGACAAAAGCACCAAAGTTGGAAAAGGCGGTCGAGGGTTGTATGTTGCATGCGACACCATGAAAACTGCAACCTGTGACGTCACAAGAGAAAACAACTAAAACAAGCAGTGACGTCATGTGTCACGTGACACATGTCACGTGACCTTGGCCCCGCGCTCCGGGCCCCAATCCACCTCTGGAAAGGACGACCCTATTTTCCTTGTGGTATTGTCTCAACGGATTGGATTGACTCCCTGACCAATCTCAGCAGACGGCGTTGTCCCGGACCCGTGGTGCCGCAGTGTAGCATAGGGCCCAAAATCAGTTTCGTTCTATTGTTATTTTTTTCTCACTGACCTCCTCACCCATTTCGGAGGTGACGACACCGGATACAGACCGGCGCCCGGTCGCCCGGTCGTGCGGAGCTCGGACGGAAAAAGCGCAGGAAGATTGCGGGTGCTTGCCGGAGAACCACCACCTTTAGTGTGCGCACCGGCCGGAAACCAACCACGCGAACGCTATTGTCGGTTTTCCGGCAAAATACGTTGTCGACGATTGACCACCCGAATTCGCCATTACACTAAAGAAGGGAGATAATTTTAACAGAAGATGTGTTTTATGGGTTTCTTTCTATGATAACGACTCATAAAGGAGCGACAAGCTTGGAGCGCTACATAATCCAGTTTGCCCGCTAGATTAAGTGGGAATATTAACGACGTGACTTCACGTCACGTAACCTTTGCTGAGGGAGGGATCGGAAACGAAAGGAAGGGGGGGGGGGGGCAGTGGTTAAAAGGTTGTTGCCTTGGTGGTTTGCTTCCGTAAAAGTGAAAGGCCGTACTACGCCAAACAGATGTAATAATGCTCAAAGTAATAGTCTTGGAAGGCTCACTGTGAAATCAGATCTGGAACAAAGGAGGTTTTGGTAATTGGTAGAAGATGAAAGAGGGATGCAGAAGTTATAATCGACGTAAAACACCACTTTTTTTTTTTCAAGTGTGTAATGAAGCGATTGATGGGAATGATGGGATGTTCACCCACTAAGAGTGCAGGATGGAAAGGATATGCGAAAAATTCCGGAAAGCAAGCACGTCGGTTCTGCTCGAGACCTGAACGTTGTTAAAGGGGAGGGGGTACACGCAAATTTGGAGAGGAGGGTCGCAGTAAAAGGGTGAAAAAAAATTACAAAGTACAATTACACCAATAATAACCTTTAAAAAGTTATAAAATGTGTGTGAGGTTCGTGCAACACTCTTCCGAGCTCCCTGGTTTTGTCAACATGATCAAGCTTGTGCACCTTTTTTATAAAAATTATAGATAGAGAACAACGACACACGTTACCTTTATTGATCAGTCACCCCAACCAAAATTATTTCTTTGCACAAGAAGGGCCCAAAGCTATCAAAAATGTTTCATTTACTCCTTGCCCATATTTTCAAGATCCACTCTTTAAGCTTTCGTTTCACTTCCTCTGAATCGCAGTCCTGTAAATATAAGAAAATGCGACACTGGTTTTATGACAATCAGAGCACAGATATCACCCTTATAATACAGCTCCCTTTTGGTAATGGAGATGTTTGTAATCGCGCAGCACTTTATATATACTAAAATATGCTATAAATGATCCACCTTAAAATACGCATTTCAATGCGCTTTTTGCAAATGAGATTAACGGTACGTCAGTGAAACCTAAGATTAAAAAGGCGAGAGAAAAGTTTGTTTCAGTACTCGCACTAACGACAATCCTTTTAGCTTCTGGACTGTTATATTACGAAGGCGGTGCCATGGTTGTTCTATATTCACCAAATAGATTAATTCTTGGTGTTCATTACCTACAAAATAGATTGTTTTTTGTCAACGTAATGGCAGTCAGGGGAAACAAAATGTAGAAAAATAAAGGGTGTTTATTTCCTCAACTAAAGGACAGAATATGTGAGCACGTGATCTGAAGTGGATTATATACCACAGGTGTTTAACATAGTCACATGTTGGTGTTGGCGAAGCACGGGGAATGTGCTGGGTTCCACACATTGTTGAAACTGGTTCGCACTTGGTCTGACTACGACCAACTGCCCCACATCCAGTTCTTAAGCCTCTCGGGGACCGCTCACAATCGGCTGCGCAGCAGCGCAGGTTCTTCTAATCAATCATAAGAAGCTAAACAGGCGTTATTTAGCCTTTCCTTAGTAAGCAAATAGAAGTGTGTGAAATATCCTTTATGGTTTGGCTGCCCCCGTCATTGCAGTCATTTTACGCGAATTACCACCTCAATACTTGTCAAAGCATTGATTGTCACGAGCCTATGCTGAGTATAAGGCACAGTGCTCGTGTTGAAACTATGGCCTTTTGACCTTTTAAGTATGACCTGCATTTTAATATCTCTCACATAAATAAAACTTCGCGTTTTCGGAGTTTACTTCTTGAGGAATTCGGAGGATATTTTCGGAGTTTATTTTACACTCGAAATTCGATGTTGGTTTTTTGCTAGATTCCGAACTCCCCGAAATTTTGAGTTTATTTTACTGTATTCTCAATTTTTATTATCACAAAAACCAAATAAATGAAAATCGGGTACCATGACCCGGTGTCCTTAAGGAGAATTGACGAGCGAAAAGGCAAATTCCTTTTATTTTCAGATTTCAAACGAAACGGAAGCTGCATTTCCTCAGTGCCACTGACCCTGTGCTCTAATGAAGTTTTGTTGAAAATCACCGCCTTTGCTGTTGTTGTTTCTTTGTTGGTAATGTGACCTCAAAATTCGGATTTTTCGGAGAAATCTGAAGGGACATTTACCGGCGAGCGTTTTTCGGATTTATCCGAAAACACGGAAGCCTAATCATAAGTTACTTCCCAGGCCTACGAGAACAATGCGATACTCATTACTATGGCATTAAACTTTGCGAAGAAATTAAAAAAAAAACACATATATCGATAAAGTTAACCCCTTTCAAAGTCTGTCCTCTGTTTTAAGCTCTGGAATCCTTGTTCAATGGCGGACAGAGATGACGCAACACAACCAAAGCTACGAGTCGATGGATGCAAACCAGAGTTTTGCCTATCTTAAACACCATACTCAAGGTACTGTACTTCAAATAATTTTGGCAGTATTTGGTATCTTGCAAGTACATTTTGTCTAGAGTATTTGCTACTCTATTTTAAATACGATTCTCGCTGTCTTTTACTCACTACCTCAAATACATTTTTGAACATTGGACAAAACTTTGTCGCCGGAACAAGCTACGGGACTAGAGATCCTCAGACCCCAAAGCAAAGCTGAACAAATTGCAAATTTGGGGCCAAGCGACTGAACAAGAAACAGAAAACAAGGCACGAGCAAAACGCAGTTTGCAAAACGGTCAAGAGGAGACCTCTTGACCGTTGTTTTAAGTTGTTTCTGAATCGCACGTCTTGCTTGGAGCTAGGAAAGGGCTAGTGACGTCATCAGGATTTGACACGAAGACCCCCCCACCCCCCCTCCCTTTTGTCTAAAACTCCTTCAGCAAAGGATTGGGAGGCCAACGCTTGGTACGATCGCAACTTGGAGCTTTCGTCTATCGTTTCCGCTGTCCCACAGCGTTCACCGCAACCCGCTACGAGATCCGAGACTTTGCAGGATATACTTCGATCACCCCTAAGCTGAGACTGCTGTGGAAGCTACGTCCTGGTTGGACCGGTCATACGTCTTACTTTCGTGACGTCATCACATTCCCGCCCATACGCACACCCAGAGAGCCGGGTCAGGGATAAGAGGGATGCGGCTGATAGGTCCGGCAGGCGCGTAACTCCCCCGGTCTCAGCTTTATGGTGAACGCAGTATAGACCTTTGCAGCGGCAGTCTCGAACGAAGGTGTCTACAGCGCGCTTCCCTGGTTTGGGAGTGTACGTAACTGTTACCCGACTTCGCTGGGCTATGTGTTTTCTCGTCAGTGGGCTGCGGCAGCCTTAGCAGGTCCAATTCCAAATGCTGAGAGCGGCTAAATTGCCGCGTTTTTTTTGTGTGTTTTATGGCGAATATAATTTGTCAAGGTTTTTAAGAAAGCATTGTGCTATTTTTAGAAACAAACAAACAAACAAATGAAAGCAACTTCTGGCGATTCCCTACGCGACAGAACAGGGATGGGCAAAATACATGCAAATATGTTTCGAAATACAAATACAAAATACTTCGTCAAAAATGTATTTAATTGCAAATCTAACTACATTTCCAAAAAAGCATTTAAGTACAAGATACAAATACAACCAAATGTATTTGGTCTCCCTCCAAATACTTTTCCAAATACATTCCTCAAAATTTGCGTCAGCGACTTCAGGGCACCTGCAACGGGCGAATATTCGAAACTTCGAATATGAATCGAATATTATACATTTAATATTCGTATTCGATTCGTAAACTAAGTCTGGTATTTTTCCAATATTCGTCGTATCACGAATATTCGATATTAATCGAATATTCGAGAACGTATTCGCAAGCGTGAGTTTTGCTTTCGGCTTCGGTTTCGGTAAGTAAGGCCCATTGACAGCAACATAGCTGCATGGTGGTTTCAACCTAAACTGTTGGCGTGGGTGTCAGTAGCAGTAATCTGCGAGTTTCTGTGCTCTTGTGACTCTTGCCTTTTTCAACTGCTCACTTTCGCGTTCACCCACCCTTCTTATGGCGGATAGAGGTGTTTGAGGGGAATCGCTTGCGAAGCGGAGAAACGAACGGGAAGAGGAACCAGAACGCAGAAAGAGGAGCGTTATTTGGAAATATCTTGCGAGGGCGACGGCTTCGATGGCGCACTGTACGGCGTGCGAGTTAGCGCTTAAAGCGTCTACAGGTACGACAACGCCCCTTGTCAACCATCTCAAAGTACATCCTTTGTTGTTGAAAGACTATCGTAGGATTACCGCTGGTACGCCAAGAAAAGATCAACCGACGCTGACGGACTTCGTGCGCCGCATGGAGCCCCTGCCAGAAAAGAGGGTGCGAGCGCTAAATAACAAGGTGGCCGCCAAGGTGGCGCCTGATTTACAGCCTTGCAGCATTGTGGAAGATCGCGGCTTCAAAGAACTGCTGACAGAAGTCGTTCCCAACTATCGCCTACCATCCCGCTCTACACTCTCGCGCGTGCTTGTGCCACGGATGTATGACGACACCCGATAGAAGGTGAAAGCAGAGCTCAACAGTGCCTTTGAAGGCGGTACTACCGCTGTTGTCTTCACAAGCGACATGTGGACATCACGCGCTAACGAAAGTTATGTGAGCTTCATTTGCCATCTTCTCACTCCGAAATTCTTGATGAAGTGGGTCACATTGAACACTCGACACATGGCTGCCAGTCACAGTGCTGTGAACATTGCAACCATGCTGGACAAAATGTGCCGTGACTGGGAGATACCCGATGAATGTGCGAAGTTCATCGTAACGTATAACGGGCGCGACATCCGTGCTGCAATAAGGAGACTTCCGTGGATTGAAAGAGCGTGCTTCGCGCATAGGCTTCAAGTGGCGATTAATGACGCGAGATGCCGTTCGCCGGCCATTGATGGCGTGTGTAAGAAAGTGAGGCATATTGTGGGACATTACAAGCACAGTTCATCAGCTCAGAAAAGGCTTGAGGAGTGCCAAAAGAAGATGAGAAAGGACACACTACGTCTAGTGAAGACGTGGAGACGAGATGGAATAGCCAGTATCTAATGTTGTCTCGCCTTCCGGAACTCAAAAAAGCAGTCACTGTGGAGCTAGCTACCTCGGACTTTGACATCGATGGACTTGGTTCATTAGAGTAGAAAGATGCTTCTGAATATCTACAAGTATTGAAGCCATTGTTTGATGCCACTCGTATTGCCAGTGCTGAGAAGTATCCGTCTTTGTCCTCCCAAGTTCCTATGATTTTTAGTATGCCCGACTGTCTTGGTATACTGTGCGAGGGCATCAGAATTTCCCGCAGAACTGATAAGATCCATTAGGCATAGTTCACTCTGTATACGAAGGACAAGAAACATGCCATTTTACCATTTTTTAGACCACCTGAGACTGGGTGGAAGAAACACGACGACGATTGAGACGTCGTCGTGTTTCTTACACCCAGTCTCAGGTGGTCTAAAAAATGGTAAACTTACACCAGCTCGCCTGCGCCCGAACTGTTTTTTTTTTTTCATTAAGAAGCATGCCTTGCTATGTTCTTGGACCCACGCTTCAAGTCCAATATTTGTAAAGCTGGAAAGGAAAAAATATGGCTTAAGGCTCTGGTGCTGCAAGAGCTAGCCTCATGTGATACTACTGAAGAAACCCAGCCGGATGCTGCAACACAGTCGAAAGAGCAAGGCTCAACGCCGTCAGCAGTGTTTGGCAAGCATTTGACCAGTTAGCCAGAAGTGCAATGGAAAGCCAAGTGGTTTCAGCTTCAAAATTTGAAGTTGTAGCGTATGCGGAGGAGACACTGCTGAAGAGAAAGAGTGGTCCGTGTGAGTGGTGGCGAACTGTCGGGTGCTTAAGATATCC